AATCAGCATCATCATCGTCATCATCATCATCAGCATCGTCGCCATCATCATCAGCATCATCAGCATCATCAGCATCAGCATAATCATCATCATCATCATCATCATCATCATCATCATCATCATCAGCATCCTCATCATCATCATCATCATCATCATCATCATCATCATCATCATCATCATCATCATCATCACCAGCCTCATCATCATCATCATCAGCAGCAGCATCATCCTCATAAGCATCCTCATCATCATCAGCAGCACCACTAGCATCATCAGCATCAGCAGCATCAGCATCAGCATCATCCACAATACCAGCATCATCAACATCATCAGCATCATAATCATCATCATCAGCAGCATAATCATCATCATCAGCAGCATCATCATCATCATCATCATCATCATCATCATCCTCATCCTCATCATCATCATCATCATCATCATCATCATCATCACAATAATCATCACCATCATCACCATCATCTTCATCGTCACCATCATCAGCAACATCATCATCATCATCATCATCATCATCATCATCGTCATCATCATCATCAGCATCATCATCGTCAGCAGAATCATGATTATCATCAGCATCATCATCACCAGTGTCATCATCATCATCGTCTTCGTCATTATCATCATCATCATCATCATCATCATCATCATCATCATCATCAGCATCAGCATCAGCATCAGCATTAGCATTATCATCATCATCAGCATCATCATCAGCACGATTATCGTCGTCATTGTCGCAAGCATCTGTATCAGCAGCATCAACATCAGCAGCATCATCAGCAGCATCATCATCAGCATCATCCGCATCAGCATCAGCATCATCAAAATCATCATCAGCAGCAGCATCATCAGCACCGTAATCATCATACCATCCTCATCCTCATCATCATAATCAGAATCACCTTCATCATCAGCATCATCATAATCAGCATCCTCATCCTCATCCTCATCAACATCCTCATCCTCATCCTCATGAGCATCATCATCAGAAGCAGCATCAGCATCATCATCATCATCCTCATCATAATCCTCATCATCATCATCATCATCATCATCATCATCATCAGCAGCAGCAGCAGCAGCAGCATCCCTGCTCCTCCTCCCTTCTCCCTCCTCCTCCCTTCTCCTTCCTTCTCCTCCTCTTCCCTCCTCCCTCCTCCCTCCTCCCTTGGCCTCCTCCTCCCTCCCTCCCTCCTTCTCTCCCTCATCCCCCCCCTCCCAGTCCCCTCCCCCTTTCCCCCCCGCCCTCCCTGCCTCCCTCCCACCCTCCCCCCCCCCGCCCCCACTCCCTCCCTCATCCCCCTCATCCCCTCCCCCTCCCCCTCCCCCTCTCCCTCCCACCCTCCCTCCCGCCCGTCCCCATCGTCATCCATCATCATCAGTATCAGTATCAGTATCATCATCATCATCATCATCATCATCATCATCATCATCATCATCATCATCATCATCATCATCATCATCATCATCATCATCATCATCATCATCATCATCATCATCATCATCATCATCAGCATCATCATCATCATCATCATCATCATCATCATCATCATCATCATCATCATCATCATCATCATCATCATCATCATCATCATCATCATCATCATCATCATCATCATCATCATCATCGTCGTCGTCGTCGTCGTCGTCGTCGTCGTCATCATCATCGTCATCATCATCGTCATCATCATCATCGTCGTCGTCCTCCTCCTCCTCATCATCATCGTCGTCGTCATCATCATCATCATCATCATCCTCATCATCCTCATCATAATCATCATCATCATCATCAGCATCATCATCAGCATCATCATCATCATCTTTTTCTTCCCTCCTTATCCCCCCTCCTCCTCCCTCCTCCCTTCTCCCCCCCTCCTCCTCCCTCCTCCCTCCTCCCTGCGCCTCGTCCTCCCTCCCTCCCGCATCCCCCTCATCCCCCTCATCCCCCTCCCGCCCTCCCTCCCTCCCTTCCCCCCTGACCTCCCTCCTGGCCCAGGGAGCGCCCCCCCGTCCCTCGAGGGCGGCGAGGGCAGAGAGCGCCGCCTCCCCGGGGGGGGGCTTGCGGGCTGGCTCGACGGCCCGACCCCGGGCGTCCGCTCCGCCCTCCTCCTCCTCCTCCTCCTCCTCCTCCTCCTCCTCCTCCTCCTCCTCCCACTCCCACCCCCACTCCTCCTCCCGCTGGGCCCGCTGGTCGCGAGCGGCCGCGAGCGTTCAAAAAGGACGTCCCGATGGAGGGGCTCGAAACATACGCCAGGTCATCTGGTCGGCGAAGGATCCGTGGAGGGAAGAGGCACCAATGCAGCTGCTCGCCCTGGAGAATCCTCCGTCGCCACAGCCGGCTTCTCCTCCAAAGCTCGGGTCGGAGCGTACCCCGGGAGAGGTCGGAGGAGCAGCGACATCGGTGCCTGTTGTTTCCACAGAGGAGTTCGGTGTGCAGACGCCCCGGCTTCCTGAGCTGTCGGATGCTGGGGCGCCTGTGCATCGAATTCCGCCGCCGGGATCCGTGGCTCCTTGGCCGACTGCACGATGCGGCGGTCGAGTCGGGCCCCTCCGAAGTCTCTGCTGGGCAGGGGGAACCAAGACCTGCGCGGTAATCTTTTGTCGACACGCTCTTTCATGGCTTCGGCCACGAGAGGAGCCACTTCGGGGCCCCGCGACGGTCAGAAGATGTCCAGGATGCACACTCGGGACCCGGATGACGGTCGAGAGTGCCCACGAGTTGAATCAAAACACACCGCCAGAGGCCCGGGCGGGGAGAGGGAAGGCGTCCAACACCCCGCCTCCGCCTGGGCCACCCTTCGCCAGGCAGCCATGTGTGAACCCTGCCCCTGCAAGTAAGCTCGCTGCAACGCCAGCTGGGGCTCAGAACTCCGTGGATGCCCGCAGCCAAGTGGGCCCCAGCGGGAGGGCCCGGTACCCCAACGGCAAGGGCAGGGTTCCCAAGCGCTCGCAAGTTCGTGCCCTCGCGAGGCGCGAGGAGGCGCGAGGCGCGACCGTGCTCGCGCGCCCGCTCTTGAAGGGGCCCTGGAACACACACATAAATACACACAAATAAACGGATGCCCCATATTTTCCTATATTTTCTGGGTTTTTGTCTTCCCCCCCACTTCCCATATTTTCCTATACTTTCTGGGGAATCGACGATGAATTGTGTCTGTGTGTGTTTCTCCCTCCTGAGCTCCGCCTCCCCAGAGAAGGGCCGCCCTCTCCTCCCCGCCGCGGCGCGCAGAGCGCCGCGGCTGCCCGGCCTGGCGCCCAGGCCTTGGCAGGCTTGGGCCCCTGGCCCGGCCCGAAGGCCAGAGCCTGTGCGCTTCTGCCGGTGGTGCGGCACGCCGGTGCCCCGGCGGCGGCGAGCAGGGCTATCTTTCCTGACTACCTACCAAACCACCCCAACCCAACCCGAAGCCCCGAATTTCGGGTTGGGGGGGGTACGGGCTTCATGTGTGATTTCTCGACGTTCCCCGACCCCCCCCAGCTGGAAATGGAGGGCAAATTGGGGCCTTCGGGTTGGGTTGGGGTGGTTTGGCGGGTGGTGATTTCCTTGGTGTTCGGTCGCCGCCGGCTCGTGGCTGTGGGAGGTTTGGGGATGTTCTCGGAGGTTTTTCGTGGCTGGCCGTGCTTGTCCACGTCTTCGCTGGGGCTGTGTTTGCGGTGCTCGTCCACGTCTTTCGAAGCCACTGCATTTTCTGACTTGCATTCGCGGCCTTCGGTGGCGACCCCTTACGGGAACAAACAATGACAGAAGTACAAACTTGCGGAGGTCCGCGCGGATTTCTCGGATCGGCGCTGGAGCCCCCTGGCGGCGCCTCTTGCGCCGCCCCTGGCTTGCTCCGCGCGCCAGGGCTCCAGCGCCCATCCGAGGAATCCGCGCGGGCCTCCGAAAATTTACGCTCACGTTTGTTCCCCGACACCAGGGCAGTAGCCCGGCACGAGCCCAGTGGGGGCACGGCGGCGGTGGCGGATTCGGTGGGCTCCTGCCCCAGCGGCGCGGGCTCGGCATGAAGGAGACTCGCTGGGACGTCCATTCCCCGTGCAATTTTCGGTTTCGTGCGTGCGCTCTTTTGCTAAATGATCATCCAGCCAGCATGCTCCTCGATGGTCCTCCTCTGAAAAAAAAAAAAAAAGCATAAAAAAACAACTTAACAAAAAAGTCCGAGCGATGCCAAGGGCCCTGGGTCTTGCAAGAGAGCGGTCCTGGAGGTCGTTCGCCGCCCGGGGGGGGCCCCGGGGCCATCCCCGGCCCCGGGACTCGCCATCGCTCCGACGTCTGTTCCCCGTGCATTTGCTGGCTTCGCGCGTGCTTCTTTTCGCGAGAGGATCCAAGATGCTCCTCGAGCCTCGATGGTCCTCGCCGACGTAGAAGCGCACACGTCCGAGCGATGCCAAGGGGGCCCTCAACAGAACGACCCAGGATGAAGAGCTGCTCCTGGCAAAAGCCCCACGGTCTGGGACACGTTTCCCTGAAGACCCACTTCCTTCATGGCGCGCGGGCCGTGATTTCTGACGCCTCGTCAGCCAGTCAACCTTGCAGCGAGTTGTTCTCTCTGGGCCCTGCGACCCGAGACGAGCCCCTGCAGAGGGTGTTCAGCCTTGAAAGCCCCGAGCGCCGGCGACGGCGCTGCCGTCGCGTGGAGGCGGCCCGTACCTGCCGTGCCTTCCCTCCCCCCGCCTGCGCAGCCAAGCAGACCGCCCCACTTCGGCTGCGCGCCAGAGCGACGCCGTGCACGTGTGCCACTGGATCTGCGGCCTGCCGATCGCTGCGCGCGGTGCGACGAGAGCGGCCTGCGTGCCTGTGCTCGGCCCCGCCGCGCCCCCCAGACGCCGCGCACCAAAAGGACCCCGGCGGCCGCTCGGGGCGACCTGAGCACCCCTGGAACGCGCTCGGCGAGGCGCAGCCGCTGGAGCGCATCCCGAGGCAGGAGAAGCTGCAGGAAGAGACGAAGACGTCCAAAAGCCGCGCCCCCCTGGAAGCCGCGCACCAAAGCTCACCCCCGCGAAGGGTCACTCTTGCGCGTCCCCGGCCACTCCTATCTCTCAGCCTTTTTATCATCATAGCTCGGCCGGTACGTGTCGGCGGGCTCGTCGACGCCCTTCGACAGGTAGTCGTCGTACCTCAGAGAAGACGAGAACCACAGGATCATCGAAGCTTGCCCCTCCCCTGCCCTAACCACGCCCCCAAACCTGGGGGAAAGTTGGAGGAAGGGAGAGGAGAGGGCGAGGTAGAGACCAAATCGCTGGAGTGACTCTGAATCCCCTGAAGACCAGTCCGATCCAGTCTTCTTGTACTTGACCTTCTTCCCTGTCGCCCTCTCGTAATCCGCACGGGAATACCCGGGCAACTTATTATTCCACACCACATTCTCGCCTGCTGCGGTTCCACCTGGAGAACCACCTCTGTACCCAGACTTCCACGCTCATGAAGAACGGACCTCCAAGATGGGCAGGGGGAAAAGATGGCGGGGGCGAGAGGGGGGGGGGACGAGGAGGAGGACCCATTCCCCATGGATGTGGAAGTGCCCGTACACAAGTGAATCCCGAACACCCCAGATGTCCTTCCACACCGGGTCGGAGCCGTCTGCCTGTGGTGGCGCCGCTCCCTTCAGGAACGCCGAGACGCCGTCCCGCAGGTCGATCAGCTCGTCCTCCCTGCCGTCGTGCAGAGCCTCGTTGGGGCGGCGAACAAACGCCAGGATCGGTCAGCATCGAATCGGGAAATCAGATCGGATCGGAGTGTGAATCGAATCGGCTCGCATCGGCATGGCATCGTCTCGGGTGGCGAACATATCCATATCCCCGCAATCACGTTCTGGATTCTGGAGGGCGATCCCGTGGACACGCGGTCGCGAGGATGCGTTCTGCGCTGGGCATCCGCGAAAAAACTCCCCGTATCCATGGGGCCGCGGCCCAGGGGCCTGGCCCGCGAAGCCGTGGATCGCAGGTCGGCGGTGACGATCGAAGTGAAACGGAGACCCCCATTGGGGAATTGGTTTAGGTTTCGTGTTCGTGTCGCATATGTATCATATATAATGTACAAACATACATACGCACGTACATGCATACATACATACATACATACATACATACATACATACATACATACATACATACATACATACATACATACATACATACATACATACATACATACATACATACATTACATACATGCATACATGCATGCATGCATGCATGCATACATACATACTTACATACATACATACATACATACATACATACATACATACATACATACATACATACATACATACATTGCATGCATGTATGCATGCACCTGCATAAACATATAGTAATATAGAGAGAGAGATCTGAAAAATACAAGAATTACACCTACACATGTGTTAGCCAGCATGGGCCCAAAACAATGTGTTTCTAGCAATATGCGTGGTGCAACCTATGTGGAGCTGTACCTGTGGAACCACATACGCAGTGCCACTCACCCTACCGAACTTGAAATTGACACCTACACTGCTCGCGAATCACCCCACCCACCCACCCGCAACGTGATTTGCAAAACCATGCGGCGGCGATTGCGACGGGTGTCTGGCGCTGGCTGGCACGTCGCTACGGCCGCGCTCGCGGGCGCAGCGGGCCGGCTCGCGCGCACAGCGGCCAGCTAGTCTGGTGCGGTCGACGCGGCCGCGGTGGCGTGGGCACCTCCCCAGCGCGTCTCGCACGCCGCGAGAACGCCCGGGCACTTCAGGAAGAGTCGGTGGCTCTGGCGGGCGCGCCGACAACAGCAAGCACGATGATGACAGTAGCGATGCCGGTGGCGACGATGACGATGACGACGGCAAGGCCATGACGGTGCCGATGTTGAACACGCCGATGACGCTGATGGTGTCCACGCGTCGGTGATGAGGTTTTCGGACGAATTTCGAAATGCGCGCGCGGCCGACGGGCGCGAGCGGCCAGCATGGTTTAATTTGACAGGTATCGCTACCCCCCCCCAGCACGCACGCAAGGGCGTTCGAATGATGTGGACAGGCGCGGGCCCCGAGGCCGGCGCGGTCGCATGCGATGGGGGTTCTGGAGTTCTGGGAGAATTAAACCTTCGGTTTTCTGAACAATTTGCGAATGCGCGCGCACACCTGCTTTGAAAAACCAGGTTGCAAAACCATGCGTATTTCATGCGTGTTCGGGGCACTCGAGTTTGAAATCTTTTCGGAGCCGAATAGACGTGTCGAGGATTGCGGCATGCGCGCGGCGACGCGCGCGTGTGCATGTTGTTCACTATGTTGCATGGGATTCTTGCAAGCAGGTGACTTGTGATAGACGAGCGCCCACGCATAATATTATTTGACGGGGATGATGGGGGGCACTCTAGCTGTGATGGTACGATTATACATTTCGCACGAAAGATGGGGCAAGATCACATGTAAACTGCACATCTCCAGGGCGAAAGGATAAGCACGGCCTCGGGAGGGAAGTGGGTCCAAATTATCGGCTAGACAAGGACAATACGTTGTACAAAATATGGTGTGCACGGTGGAACCTATGTGGCACCGTCTACGCGGTGCAATCCACTCTGCTGAACTTGAAGTCGTCATCTCCACTGCTCGCGCAAACATCCCGCCCACCCACCCGCAACTTGGTTTGCAAAACCTCTTCAGACCGACTACGACGACACCGACGACAACGACTACGACGACACCGACGACGTCTCCGACGACTTCGACGACGACAACGACGCCGACGACGACGAAGACGACGACGACAACGCCAACGAAGGCGACGACGAGGGAGGAAGAAGGACCACGACGGCGACAACGACGACAACGACGACAACGACGAGGGAGGAGGGAGGACGGCGACGACGCGAACGACGAAAACGGAGGAAGGACGGCGACGCCGACGACGACAACGACGAGGGAGGAGGGAAGACGACGACGACGAACGACGACGACGACGACGACGACGACGGCGACGAAATAGGAGGGACGACGACGAGACGCCGACGACGGACGACGACGACGACGAGGGAGGAGGAGGAGGAAGGACGACCACGGCGACAACGACGACGGAAACGACCACGACGCCAAAGAGGACGATGACGACGAACACGAGGAAAGACAGAGGACGACGTAGGCGACGACGACGACGACGACGACGACGCGGGAGGAGGGAGGACGCCGACGACGACGACGACGACGACGACGACGCAAGAGCGCGCGCGCGAACGCTTTTGAAAATCCGTGTTGCGAAACCTTGGGTTTTTGTATGTTTTTTTTTGACACGCGACTTTGAAATCCTTCCGAAACCGATGGGTTTTGAAGGATTTCGGCATACGCGCGACGACGCGCGCGTCTGCACTTCGTCTCATGTGTTGCAGAGGATTCTCGCGACGGCACACGCGCAAGGGCGTTCGACAGATTTCGACATGCGCGCGCGAAGCCCGTTTGGTAGCAGTTTGTGAAAATCTTGAAAAACCAAAATGGTTTTCTTAAGATTTCGCAACAGCTCGCGCGGAAGCTTTTGTAGCAAATCAGTGTTGCGAAACCTTGTGTGTTTTGTATGTTTTTTGGAAACTCGATTGCGAAATCCTTCCGGCACCGAAGGTTTTTGAAGGATTTCGGCATGCGCGCGCGACGACGCGCGCGTGTGCACTTCGCCTCGTTTTTTCTTGTGCAAGGGATTCGTGAAAAAAGTGCGATGTTAGAACAAATGTCACCGCATTGTGTCTTTCACAAGGGAAGATCAGGGGGGGATACCGCCCCCCCGGGGATAGTGTAAATTCATGTTTAGGATGGACATGTGGTCAGAATCATAAACGATTTACATACCCGAAAGGGGGACCAATAACTCCGGGGGGGGTAGATCCTATTCTGTTTTTAGAAAAGAGATTTTCCCTTCTGCAGCGCGCACGACCACCACCCATGCTCGCGAAACCATCCCACACACACACACACACACACACACACGCAACTTGGTTTGCAAAACGCACGCGGCGGCACTTGCGACGACTGCTTGGCGCTGACTGGCACGCCGCCGCGGCCGCGCTAGCGCGCGCGGGCTCATGCGCAAAGCAGCCAGCTAGTCTGGCGCGACCGACGCGGCCGCGGCTGCGCCTGGCACTTCCCAGCGCGTCTCACAGGCCACGTCGACGCGCGCGCACTTCAGCGCGAGTCCGCGACTCGGGCGGGCGCGGCACCATGGCGGCTTCGACATCGGCAGACACGACGATAATAGTAGCGACGCTGGTGACGATGGCGACAATTACAACGGCATGGCCCGCGACGGCGCCGACGCTGATCACGCCGATGACGACGACGGCGCCCTCGCGTCGGCGACGAAGTTTTTCTGGAAAATTTCGACGCGCGCGCGCGGCCGACGCGCGCGATTTCGACGCGCGCACCCCCCTCCCCCCCCAGAACGCGCGCCAGGGCGTTCGAATGATTCCGACACGAGCGCACGAGAGGTCCGTTTGGCTGCAGTGTACCAAACAAATGGAAAGAAACGATCGTTTTCTTTAGAGGGTTCGAGGGCGCGCGCGCGCGCAGACGTGCTTTTTGAAAATTCACGTTGCGCACCCACTGGTGCTCTAAATGTTTTCGGGCCACTCGATTTTGAAACCCCTGCAACACCTAAGGTTTGGGCAGGGTTCTCGCACGCGCGCGCGCGCGCGACGCCGCGCGCGCGCACTTCGCCGTTTTCTGCGAGGAATCACTGCGGAGTCTTGCAGCGTGGCGGCTTTTGATTAACATGCGCGCGCGTAATTTGTTGGCCAAGGATAGCGGGGCGAGTCGATGCTGGCCTGGCTGGGATGGCAGGATTTCACGCGGCCAAAGGAAGAGGAGGCACGAGAATCTACGCGGTGCAACTGATTTGCTGAACTTGAAGTTGTCTTCTCCACTACTCGCGCAAACATCCCACCCACCCACCCGCAACTTGGTTTGCAAAACCTGTTAAGACCGACTACGACGACACCGACGACAACGACTAGGACGACACCGACGACGTCTCCGACGACTTCGACGACGACAACGACGCCGACGCAGACGACGACGAAGACGACGACGACGACGCCAACGAAGGCGACGACGAGGAAGGAGGAAGGACGACGACGGCGACAGCGACGACAACGACGAAGGAGGAGGGAGGACGGTGACGACGCGAACGACGACGAAGGAGGAAGGACGGCGACGCCGACGACGACAACGACGAGGGAGGAGGGAAGACGACGACGACAACGACGACGACGACGGCGACGACATAGGAGGGACGACGATGAGACGCCGACGACGGACGACGACGACGACGTGGGAGGAGGAGGAAGGACGACCACGGCGACAACGACGATGGAAACGACCACGACGCCAAAGAGGACGACGACGACAAACAGGAGAAAAGACAGAGGACGACGTAGGCGACGACGACGACGACGCGGGAGGAGGGAGGACGGCGACGACGACGACGACGACGACGCAAGAGCGCGCGCGCGCGCACGCTTTTGTTGAAAATCCGTGTTGCGAAACCTTGGGTTCTTGTAGGTTTTTTGGACGCACGATTGTGAAATCCTTCCGAAACCGATGGGTTTCGAAGGTTTTCGGCATACGTCCGCGACGACGCGCGCGTCAGCACTTCGTCCCATTTCTTGCAGAGGATTCTCGCGACGGCACACGCGCAAGGGCTTTCGACAGATTTC